TACAGAACCTGGTATTCCCAAGCAGTCACCCATCTAAGTACAGACCAGTTTCAACATTGCTTAATTTCAATGATCGGATGAGAACCAGTGTTTCAACATGTTACGGTCATAAACTTCAAGATAGAGATATACAGAGTAAAAGATAAGGTGCACAGTTTATGAGGGGGATGTGAGGTGAAAAATAATGGTTAACCCTAGATTTGAACAAATAAAGATTGTAGCGATTGAAGAAGCAACCCCTTGAGAGTTGCAGTTTGTGGGAAGCAGCAGCTCAAGTGCAATTGACGTCTCAGCAATGGAATACAAAGGGTATTGGATTTGTTCACTACAATGTGCATGGCTTGGCGAGTCTTAGCTGTGAAGATTAGAAATGGTAGAACTAAGGAATGTAGTTTCATGGAAATAGTGTAAATGTTTTCTCTGTGGGGGAAAAGGGATGGTTTGTTTGGGTCAAAAACTTTTCAGCACCCCACTTCATATTCAGTATAAATTCTAATCATTTTTAAAATAAACAATTTTTTTTGATAAACCAAATGAATTTATCAAATATGCAATGGAAATAACATGTATTGATGGTAAAGCAATATTTTTATTGTTTTCCACAAGAACGTAATTACTTATTGTAACACTGCAACGATTTTTTTGATCTTGTAATCAAAGGAAGACGTCATGAATTGAAAATTATTTCATTTGCTAAGAGAAATGCCATTTTTTCTTATCAGTGAACTTTCTCATCAAATAATAAGAATTCTATACATCTTTTCTTCCTTTATCAGCAAATAATGGGCAATCCAGAGAAGCACTACTAATTGCATAATTGATCCTCGTCAGGCTGATATTTGGCAGAACATTAGCTAAGGATAAAAACCAATGTGGTGTTTCCAATTCTCAAGAAAGACTGATTAAAGATACAATCAGTCTCCTCCTCCCCCACTCCCCATTTGATATAATCAGGATTACAGACAAAACAAAGTAAATCTTCCTCATTAATTAACACCAGGTAAACTCCACAGTGGACAGGAAAGATTTAACCAAAAGACTTTATTTTTACCTCCCTTTTGGCCATCTTAAAGTGTCTGTTACTCGGTGGAACCATAAGTATTATCCTAAACCATGTAGCCTCACACCAACAGACATTTGTTTGGGATGCTTATTCTGAATGATACTTGAATTGTGTTATTCTCTATGATTTCGACAGAGAAGCACGTCTCAATTTTTTTTTTGTTGGAATTTTGCCATAAACTAAAAACTATTTGCTTTTCTCTGCAGACAGTAATCCTTGATAGCTCATCAGGCAAATAAATTTGTTGCTCTGCTTTTTCTTAAAAAAAAACAAAAAAAAACTTTAAAAGTATCATGTTGAACAAGTGGTCTTTAATAGAAGAGTTAAACTTTTATTCTCCCATCTTATTTGCAGGTCTATCATCAACAAAAGAAATATTTATGAACTAAACATAGCTTACTACCAGGCAAATTATTTACTTGCTTAGAAGAAGCATTTAAAAAAAAAAAAAAAAAAAAAAAAAAGTGTAGGGTTGGGTACTATCCAGACATTGCCCTGAATCCAAAGTACAGATGCACCACCAATTTTCCAACTAATCATCTGGTATCTCTTTTAATATGGATAAAATTAGTAGCAATTTGAATTTGACACAATTGCCAGACTAATTCACCAGGCAGCCACAGGTGATGTTACATTTAATAATAGTTTAATATGTTTCGAACATTCAATGATGTTTCAGAGATACAAGAAATGCATAATTTGTGGGTCAGAGAGGAATTACCAACTAGTCATTACATGACTTCTGTTGGTCTGGCAAAACGGATAACCTGATATAGTTCTGGAATCAAGGGTGACAGAAAATTAGTGGTGTACTTGTATTATGAATGGGAGGCTTATCATTGCAGAATTAAAATGGTTTATGATGAATATCCTAAAAAAAAAAAAAAAAAAAAAAAAAAAAAAAAAAAATTCTTATAATATGAGAATTCAGTTATGTGCCATGCATGATAAACACTTACATGATCATGTGTGTATATATATATTTTATGAATAAAAATGACAATAGGAAAACTGGTAATTGCTGACGCGTTTCGTCCAATGTGGACTTTATCAAAGCAAAATATGAAAATAAAGTCCACATTGACTAAACGCGTCAGCAATTACCAGTTTTCCTATTGTCATTTTTATTCATAAATATTGTCTTTCTACTGGTTAAATCGGAGAAATTTATATATATATATATATATATATATATATATAAAAACAATATATACATTCTTATATATGAAGAACAATTTTAGGAAAATCTATTTTGAAAAGTGTGTGCATGTGTGTGTGTGTGTGTGTGTTATTTCATGAAAATTAATAATTTTTACAAAAACTGTCAAAAACCTATCTTGATAAATTCAGGGTTCCAATGAAAAATAATTATATAAAAATGTTAAAACCAAAATTCAAATCAAATTTAAAATAAGTTATGAAGATAATATTATGATGTATGACTTCCTTCATATTTTATTAGTCCAGCTGTAGTTGTTTATCTCACATACTGAGAGCTGGTCTATCCTTACTGCTTGGACATTTCTATAATCTAAGCCTTAACTATGCTAATTAGGCAATCACTACAGATCATTTTTTTTTTTTTTTTTTTGTAATGAATATATAAATTTTAAGTTATTATACCTTTGTGGGTCAAGATAGTTATACATTGACCACTGCCATTAGTGGTTAACATTGAAGACCAAATTAAAAATCATTAAAGAAGATGGGCCCTTCCCATTTGGAGGATTGGTGCAACATAATCTTACTACCCTCATTTCCCTTTACCATTTGGCCATGTGCCATAAAATATCAAAGTAAATATGCAACCAAAGATGGTTTAATTGCTTTAATATATTCACTTTAAAAAGGTAGAATATGAAGCCATAATATTATCAGCAAATTAACAGTGAATAATTTAAACAACATTTTATTTTAAATATGAAGAGTTTAATAGAAATCATAATCTTATGATAAATGTGTGATCCTAGCCAATATTTGACATGGGCACACAGCCAAGTGGTTAGAACATACACTTTCCAACCATGAGACCTGGGTTTGAATTTCTATATTGTTGATTTGTTAGAAAGGTGAATTCTTGACGTTATCGGCCTAGAGAGGCAACTCTAGTACACAACACCATTGGAAAGTGCTTGTAAATAATACCATGCATTGACCAAAGGCTTGTGAGTGAAGTTGTCTAGACAAAACTATTTGACAATAATTGTGCTAGCTAAAAATCACAAGTCATCGTGACTGAGGGTTTGAACATACTGGCCTTGTTCAAACTGCTGATTATGCCAGAGGTGTTATATCCCAGAAACTAAGTATGGTCTGTACAGCATAGTTGCAGTATAAACCACAGCACAGTTTGGTAGGTGTTGAACAAACTCAAATGTGCCTGAGCAGGTGTCTGCAATATGGATTGGCTTGACAGCCTAGTAAATGACTGTGCTCAAAAAAGCGGCCAACCATTAGCTGAGATGGTTTTGCCAGTTGGTAATTCAAGCAAACTGATTTTTTTTAAATTTTAATTTAAAACAGACTGTTAAAACAGAACCCAACAGATTGCATTTTTTTTTTATTTCCATCAAAGTTAAGATTTAATGAAGTAGTGACCTTTACAAAGAAATTTTTTATGAAAAATTTGTGTTTGATTTTTAAAATATTCAATAAAATTTCTTTTTCTATTTTATTTAGATTTTCTCAAGACTCCATAACCACTGTTTTATTAAAATCTTCAGTGCTACAAAAAATAAAATCTTATGACAAGTGAAATCTAATACCCAATATATATAAAAAAAAAATTAAAAAGCACTGATATTCTATGAGTATTAATGAAAAAATTCTTATTTATGATGAAACAAAATTCAGGCAATACAAAACAAAAAAAAAAAAAAAAAAAAATCAATATTCATCATTTCTCCAACCAATGAAACAGTTTTAACGATGAAAATGAACAAAAATGCAGAAAGTACTTCAATGCAAAACCATTTTATTTTAATATTAATTTTCAACTTGAAAGAGCAATAGTTAAACAAACAACTCACAAAATAGTTTCTTAACAAAACATCTAAATCAGATTTGTTTGCAATAGTCTCAAAAGCAAAATGTGTTTTTATTATTCAATCTATGATTGTTCACATGAAAACTGATAGAAGCAATGCACTTGGAAAATATTGACAGCTAAAAATATTTTCTCTCTCTCTCAGTTTGTAAAAAAGAAATGTAATTTATAATGGAAAAAAAAATCATTTAAGTTGTTGTCATGGACAGATGCCATAAGTGTATGAAACTAATTTATAAAGATAAATTTATTTCTAAGTCTATAATAAATGAAAAACAATACAAGTATTAATAGAAAATATGAAATGTTAAAAAGCAAAATATTGCTTATGATTTTGAAGATACCTAGATGGGTTTAAATTCAGTGCAAGACATGAGAAAAGTCTTGGTTTAAAATGTTGTTGCATAGCCCCCTCATGCTGGTAGGTCCTGATCAATGGTGCCAATTCAATAAAATGTTGCATTTTCTTTCTCAGCTGGTGATCGCAAGATGCTTTTGGTCAGCAATAAATGACATTAACGGATTGCAACATCTATTAGGGAGATGTGATTAAATATACTTTTATGTTTAAAAAAAATTATTTAGTATTAGTATTATTATTTAGTATTAGTATTATTGTTTAGTTAATAAGCATTATAACAGCACAAATAGCTATATTGTGGAAAAAGGAATTTTCAACAATGCACATTATTTACGTATTTATGGTTATTTTTTAATTTCTATCTAAGACGACATTCTTGTACATGTAGTTATGGATAACATTATACATTAATTACTAATTTTTTTTAATTAATAACTATTTGTGCTCAGTTGTTGACATTAATAGTTATCTGCTGATGTGTTAAAATTTTGGAATAATGCAATAATAAAAATTTAAATTTCATCTCTCTGATAGATGTTGTGATCTGTAAATATGGAGAATTTTAACTTGACTATTTTATTAATGTTGACATGTACTAACAATCCAGTGGGGGGTCATTCCCCCTCACTGGGGAGCCGT